TCCAAGCTTCAAAACATCGTCGCTCTCTCAACCTCCGAAGCCGAGTACATCTCCATATCCTATGGTTTGCAAGAAGCTCTTTGGCTAAAATCAATACTTGAAGAACTCAAGCTCCCGATCAAGTTGCCGATCCTCGTGTACGAAGACAACCAGAGCACCATCAAGAGTGCCAAAAACCCAGCTCTCCACCAACGCACGAAGCACATCGACGTGCGCCACCACTTTATTCGTGACCTCGTCAAGCAGCGTACCATCAAGATCAGATACTGCAAAACCAACTCGATGCTTGCTGACATGCTCACGAAAGCTTTGCCGCGACCCAAGTTTGAAGAACACAAGGCGCGAATTGTCACCTCCATCTCCTCATGCAACAACCAAGAACGTCACGATTAGAGGGGAATGTTGAGCCACATCGGCGTGAAATATTTGATCCACAAATCAAATATCGCCTTAAGGCCACGTCATACATAATCTGCCCATTCTGCATGTTACATGAGCCTTGCGCAAGTGAAAGCTAATGGAAGCCACATCGCCCTAGCGCTGCCTAATGCAGAATTTCTAGAAAGCGAACATTCTCGTAGTCTAGCTTAACCTCGGCTTAATCAATCACTTTCCAATTCACACTCAATTGATTCACCATGTGTGCGCTAGCCCCAGCATTGCATGCGGTCAACCTCGCACTGCTTGTCCATCCGTTCGGGGATTGTAAATTCCCACAGCTATGTCATCGAAACATCGACGACGTGGCGACTGCGAGCCCGATGCCCATGATCCCCGCCCCATGGCCGTGACATGACGAAGAAGGACCGCCGCACACTACCACGAGCACATAGACCCTCAAACGCCCCGACCACAAGTTGTGTACCATCCCACGTTCAAGCCCACGTCATTGCAGCCCCCAGACGTTTGAGTCGTTACTGAAAGCACGACCCGAAAGCCAGCCTACCGTTTCCCACACCTATCCAGTGCTCATCTCGAATAGATGCACGTGTGCAGTGGAGAAAACGACAGTAGAGATAGAGAGGCGTACGATGGAATCGCCACGAATTCACACAGATCCCGAAGCGGATGGAACGCACGTGGCATCTTCAGGACCAAGCACACTCCCAGTAGCACGCTGCTGCAGTCGGTCGATAGAAATCCAGCAAAACGGACCCTTGCATCTACTTTCAACAGTCGCCCGATGGTTTGGTTTTGGTGAATGTGTAGGTTGACGACTTCATCCTTCTCTCCAAGAGCACCCTACTGCTGGAAGCAACCAAACGTGACCTTTCTACCCGTTTCACCGTGAAGTATCTTGGTCCCTTGACCTTCTGCCTTGGAATTGAAGTGTTACGCATTGACAATCGCTCCATCCACTTTCACCAACATAAGTATGTCTCGGATATACTTGCTAAGCACGATCTACTTGAAAGGAACTCAAGAACTTGGCCTACTTTACAAGAAGTCCTCCGACGAAACATTTACGCTCGAACTCTACGTTGATGCCGACTACGCCAACGACAAGACCACTTACCGTTCAACATCTGGTTGCTTCCTCTTCCTCAATGGATGTCTGGTCAGTTGAGAAATCCAAGCTTCAAAACATCGTCGCTCTCTCAACCTCCAAAGCCGAGTACATCTCCATATCCTATGGTTTGCAAGAAGCTCTTTG